TTTTTTTTTTTTTTTTTTTTTTTTTTTTTTTACACATTGGAATCAGAAGGTATGAAAATTTTTTATAAGAAAAATTTTACATCCTCCGATAAGATAATCCTAAACGTATTTTAAATGCTTAAAAATTATTTTAAATTATAAAATATTAAATTAAATAATTATTTAATAATAAATTTATTAAACAGTATTAATATTTTAAAACTTCGAACCAATAACTCTTTGGATATAACAATTTTCTTTGGATAAAAATGAAAGCACCAATAACTCTACTACAAAGCATGTTCATTGTTTCTTTTGTTCTTTTAACCTTTTTTACACTTGGATGAATTTGATAACATCTTGATCTACCTATTTCAACAAACCCATATCTGGAGATTGATCTCAATGAGATCATCTTCATTTATATTCAAGATGATAAACTTTTCTATAAATCTTGAACTTAAAAGACAAAGAAGTTTGTTGATTACATCCATAACGATCTTGATCTCAATAACATAGTAACCCGATGTGAATTTATAGAAGGAAACAATACAATTTCTATGACAAAAGTTACTACTCGATAAAAATAAGATATTAATCTATGGTCTAGTTATTGGTATGTTTCATTATGTCATTGATGTCTACTAGGTGATTAATGGTAGATGGAAACAAATATCGATTTTGATTGATCTACTGTTTTCTTGATCCGAAAACAGGTAAATCAATTGACGTTGTTGAACAAAAGATTTTGTGGTCGTTGTTAGAAAAGTACCACCACTTGGTCAAATGAGAAGTAGCAGTTATGAAGTGCATTTACAGTATTCCATTTCTCGTATGAATAGCAGATTGCAAAATTGCCACAAGCTCCGCCCACGCCTTCTGTTTAACAAAATCAGCAACAGCAAACACACAAATAATCACTCATCACTCAGATTCAGATACGTGTATATACGAAAAAATTAAAAATCGATTAAAATTGGAGATGCGGGGGATCGAACCCCGTGCCTCTCGCATGCAAAGCGAGCGCTCTACCATTTGAGCTACATCCCCACGTTATTTATCTACTAAAATATATAATTTTGAAATTTAAATTTACCATTAATCCTCGTATATATTAGCCACGAAATTAGTGTAATGCAATTTTGGATAAAAAAAATATCCTGACATCTCTTAACTACATATCTTTGACTTTGTTACTGACATGAGTTGAAATTTGTTTGTCTTCTTTATGCTATACAACTATGTTAACAATTAAAAAGATAAGTTTAAAGGAATGTTTGATGGAAGAATAAATTTTTAATGTCTGAAAATCATGATTTTTTGTGAAAAAAATATGTTTACTGCAATGAAATATATATTTTTTAACTTAAAAATGTTAGATTTTTACATATCTCATAATATCAATTTAATGAAAAACTTGTATAATTTTTTATTATAGAAAATCATGTTTTCTTGGAATATTTTTTTTTCTTCTTATGATAAACTAAATGTAAAACATTAATATTTCTTGTACCGGAAGGGTCCTATCGGCCACGTGTATGGGTTACGTGGACCGACACGTCATGTCTTATCAAATATTGACACAGTTGACATGTATTCGGCTCGGCAGAAAGCCGAAAAGGATAGACAACCCAACTCTTTTCATATCGGCTCGGCTAGAGGCTCAACCTTTCCCTATCGGCTCGGCCAGAGGTAGAGAACGAGGGGTCGTCTCGACCTTTTCCTGTCGGCTCGGCCAAGGGCCGACAGAGTCAGAGCAGTTAGTACGATGATCATGATTAACAAGAGAAAACGCGCAATTAAGGCATAATTAGTCGATTAGCACCGTATTACCTAATTTGGTAAATGTCAGAAGAGGCCCACCACACTCAGGGCCCATGACAGGTAGTATAAATAAGTCACACGAAACGAGGTATGTCACTGTTCATTTATTACACTCGAGAATTGCGTTTGTCCTGATTTAAGCGTCGGAGTGCCTTTTGCAGGTACCTTCCCCCTTAAGCATCCACCTGAAGCTCTCGTTCGACCCTTCACTTACCAGAAGATTACGAGTGTACCCTCATACAGGTACATTTATAATTTTAAATTCCTGAGAAAGTAAAAGTACCCCCAAGATTTTTTCATTAAAATGGACATAGATTTTGAAGCGCCAATGCCGGGGGTGTTGGAGTCTCTGCAAATTGGAAGCATGGGACGGTTGAAATGTTATTATGATCTCTCCCACATTGTGCTAAAGATAAATAATTAGTATATGTCCTCCCAATATCTCAAGACAGCTCATTTCAAAGGAATACTCAACCTTTGTTGTGGTACTTCTCCCAATATCTATCACAAACCATAGTCTCATTTAGGCACGGCAATTTTCACTAGTGTGAAATCCATCATAGGGGTTTCTGAATGGTGGTCCCCTCTTAAATAAACTTTTTAGAATATTACATCATCCAATCCAATGGTTATGAATAGAATACAATTAATTGATCATGACAACCTTATACATGTTGGTTTCAACTTACAAACAATGTCTCACAAACAAACAAGTAACAACAGTGTCAAATTGAAGTCACTTTTTTGGTAAACACAAAACAGCATTTGGACCTTCTTTAACATTTACTCTAATAGTCAAAATAAGCAGAACAGCACTAAGGTCGATGTCCAGTGTAGTATCCCTGTCCGCGCCAATTTCAGCATCACAATGCCCATCAATTTTTCTGAACGGCACAAGCTTTGGCAGTGCATGCACATAATATAATAACTCAAACAGCCACGCATTCCGATGGAAAAATAACCAGTTCCCTTTTGTTCAATTTTTCAACATGTGTGGATCCCAGCACCAGCCTGTGTCCAACGTTCAAAAAGCCATTCAAACTTAGGCGAGTAAATTACGGACATTTCTACACCTTTTTGTAAAACCAGTACCCCGAAGCCACTATCTTTTTTTCCCTTCCCCCAAACGCGTTTAACTCGCTTGCTTCCAAGTTCTAAGTTCTAACCATGCAGATGCAGCTTCTCCTTATGCTAACATTATTTACATTGCAACTACAAGCCATTCCCACACCTTGCAAGACCTCATGTGGCAACATTCCCATAAACTACCCCTTTGGCCTAGAAGATGGTTGTGGTGCACCCCAGTTCAGACACATGCTAAACTGCAGCACCGACTTGTTCTTTCAAACACCTTCAGGTGCTTACAAAGTTGAATCCATCGACTACGGCAAAAAAACCATGACAATCTACGACCCCTCAATGTCCACTTGCTCCATTCTTCAGCCCCACCATGACTTCCAAATGACGGATATTCAATCCGCTATAATCCCCCCATCACAGGACACAGTTTTCGTGCTACTAAACTGCTCCATAGACTCTCCTGTTCTCAACCACTACAAGTACCTCTGCTTCAACTTCGCTGGTCACACGTGCGACGAGCTTTATGGGGCGTGCAATGCTTTCAGGGTCTTTCATTTGTTGACGAATAGTTCCCCACCGTGTTGTTTCACTAGTTATGGCACGGTGAAGTTCATGAGCATGAACATATTGGACTGCACGCACTATACAAGTGTGTTGAACACTGATAACTTGAAGGGTGTTGGCCCTTTGGACTGGGTTTATGGGATTAAGCTTTCTTTCAGTGTGCCTGATACTGGGTGTGAAAGTTGCAAACGATCTGGTGGGACATGTGGGTTTGATACTGACACAGAAGGTTTGCTATGTTTGTGCTCTAGTTTCGCTAATTCAACAAGGGCATGCGGTAAGCAACTTTGGAATTTAAATCACATGGTGTTATTTTAGGACAAACTTGGATACATTTTTTTTAGGTTCTTTTTATAATATTTTTTAACCAAAATTAAAATTTTATATCATGTCAACCAAAAATGAGAACATAACTAAAGACATAACGGTGTATATAATTGAGATTAATTCTCACTTTATAAATTAATCTTATAAAATTAAATCAAACTGTAAATTACTTTTTAAAAACATCCATAATCAACAAAATAAAGAGGTTAATATATGTCGAAATAAAACTACTATTATCATTAGAGAATAACATCCAAAAGAATGTAATTAAGTTTTTGTCTGTTATTGTAATCGGGGTTGTATGCTAACTATAATGTCTTTGTTTCTGTTTTGCTTCTTAGCTGCTGGAAATATGATATCGAAAGGACAGAAGAACGTTCCTTGGACACACTATCTACTGGTTTTGCTTGTTGTAGCTTATTTTCACACGAGGGTGAGGCTCCTTTGAGAGCTTTATGTTTTTTAGTTTTCATTCCATTCTTCTGGGCAGAGAGAGTTTGTGTAGTTTTATGTTTGTAATATGCTTCTTTGAGACTTCAAATTGGGAAAGTGTGGTTTGAAGTCGCAAGATTATTCTTAACTCTCCAATGATGCAAAATGGCTTGCCAAAATACAATAGTTGCGTCATCTTCCTTTTTGTTGTTCATGAGTGGGCATAATAGAAAAAGTGTAGCCATAATAGAAATTAAGATGCAAGCGAAAATGAGATGGGAAAAAAATGATAGTTGTTAATAGTTTTTGGATATTGAGGTGTCCAACTGTGACCAAAAAAATGAAAACAACTACTGCGTAAGAAATGCCAGATTTTTTTATTTTTTATTTTTTAAGGTGAATGAGAGGCAAAACAACCTCCAAAACTAGAAACTCCGCAGGAAT